TTATTCATTTGTAAATCCCAACGCAGTTGAATCGCTTTTATACAATTCCGTATGAATTTTTTAATGTATTATAGTAGGATTTCTCATTCTCTGATTCATTGTGCTTTGCTGTGAATTTCGATAATTTCCGCTGCGGAGCAGCAGTATTAGAAATCTTAAGCCCCAGCAATCCACCAGACTTGCCAGTGCAGTCATGCGCTTTTGCGCTGTACTTGCAGCAATTAGGTCGTGAACAGTAAGTATGATTTTTTGAAGCAAGAGGTTTCAAATTACTCTTATTAGTTAGCCGTTAAAACACTCAGGTGTCAGTATGGTACCTCTTCGAAGGTTCTGTTTAGGTATATTTCCATAGTCACAACACATATCGTTTATGATTAGCTTGCGGAGTCAACACCCGCGGGTAGGTATTCATTTTGTTTATTGCACGGACAAGAGGGCAATGATTAGCCCTTTTTCTCCCTTTCATGAGTGGGAAAGCTTTCGCTATATGGGGTTTATGACTGGCTAATCCAGTCAGTTTTAGCCTTCAACGCCTCATTCGTTTTATCGAGTAGCATAGGAATGTCCTTTTTTCTTCGTTTGAATTTGAAAATTGCGGAATGTTTTTTTTGTTATGTACACTGTGTTGATGCGTGATCGTGTTGTATTCATTTCGCATCGTATCGGTTCAATAAAAGTTTAACAACTCAAATTTGAGGTGTAAAATCCAAGCAACCCGAAGTATTGGCATCACTGAAGCGAATTCGCGCGAGTTTACTTATTGACATCATTGAAGCAGATCCGAATGAGCAGAGAATTGATTATTCAATAGATAATCTGAACCACCGATTGCTACTGTTTTTATTCTCGGACCAAATTTGGAGAGGAAAGTGACGCTCGACAATAATACAAACAGAAAGATTTTTCCCGGTACCCCTTCTCCGCATCGTTCCTGCGTTGTGGTTTAACACGCCGACTCTTGCTGATTGTGCTCTCCTGTGCACAGGGGTTAAAGGGCGTCGGCTGAGATGGCAGTGTTACGTCATGGATCCGCATGGACATCCAGCGGGTATGTTTTTCAATTTTAGCATCATGAAGCCTGGTCGTTTAGAATCACGAAACCAGCAAAATACATTCGCTTTTGGGTTTGTGATAAAATCGAGTATCTATCATGTCCATATGCAGAGAATTTTACCTCCAAGCTGAATTAAGACCAACATGAATATAGAATACGCTTTCAAGGTTTCAGCTTCGCAGCTTGCCGGGTAATCGAAATCACCCATTCGCTACAAATATTTTTGATGCGCCCAAAAGGCTGATCCAGTCGCATTTGAACTTCCATTTTGATTTGACAAAATTTCTAACTACTTTCTCCAGCAAGTTTTTGAGCTGGCAAAGTGCTAACCGCGAAATTTGAATTGATTTTACGCACGTTGCGAGTGCGTGTAACAGCTGAATTAGAGAATAGTGTGCGTGATAGCTGTAATCTTCAACGAAAATATCACAGAGAATATCTCTGCAAAGTCTCAGCTTTTTATTATGCGTTTTTACTGTGCAGCGCTATAGCAGCACTGTGGCGCTGATGCAGCCAGCAAAAATGCATATTGTCGAGGGGCTGTGTGTGTGTGTGTGTGTGTGTTTGTGTTCGGAAGTAAGTACATTCTGTCATCCACTTTCATCTCAGCAACCAGGAAAGCTGGAAAGCTGAAACTTTAGATATATGTTCTACCCCATGTGTCATCCTCCCGTTTCAAGATTTTCCCCATACGCGCCTGGACCTCGCGTACGGGCCCCCCAAAAATATTTGTTGGCGGGAAACGATTTCGCGAACCATGCAAGGTAGAAGGCTAAAACTTTGCAAGGATATTCTCTATGCACGTGCGAGATAAAGGTTTTAAACTCAGCCTTCAAGCACCCAACCACAGTCTCAAGCAGCTCCTCAACCCAAAAATCGCTAAGAAATTCATTGCAACTCGAACCCAAACTGCAGTCGAATATGTAAATGAATATTAGTTAATGTGAATAAATGGGTTTTTTTTGACAATCGGCCGCTCGAGCAATACTTCCACTTTTTAGTGAACTGGAAATTTGCATTCTTTCAAAAAATTTGCATTTATCATATTTTCATAAAGCGAGCAATTACCGGAAAAACGACCGGACTTCATGCAAAAAACTGGTAATCACGAAGCTAGATGCCCGTGCGGCTCTACAATGCACCACCTTCATCTCAACCGACGCCTTTCCCCCTGCACGCCGGAAGGGGCCAAAGCACGGCCAATTTGAGCCAAAGTGTTAGGCTACAGCATAGTATCATTCCTGCTAATAGCGATCTGCGAGTTAGCGATGGTTCTCTCTTTCATTACGTTGAATATCGGGCTTAACAGTTACTTCTTCAAAAAGATCCTTTGTGTTTGCCTTCTAAACGCCTACAGGAATACGAATGTGCAACAACACGTTTGTTATAAACAGCACACGTTTTTCTCATTTAAATTCAGAGCTCCCCCAGATCCTCTTTTCCAGGTGAATTTGCCAGCAAAATGAAATACGGTACAGCCGCCAAATGGATGTACAATGAATCGATTGTGCTGTGTGGTACCAATCATGTCTCGCACACCCACACGCAGCCGTCGTACACACCAATTGCAGCTGGTGTGCACACCGCACGCAGTCCTCATTCAAACCACGCGTAGTCCCCTATGCACGTGTGATGCCCTCTACCGCACACAGACTCCGCACACCACCGCACCTTCCTCCCATTCTCCTGCACTGATCGTAGCCGTACG